TAAAATTAAGGCTTAATAGTATTATTATTAGTATTGAAAGTAGTAATAGCTTCTTTATTACTTTTAAAAGCTTGTAGAACTATTTATTTTTTCTTAACGTTTAAAGTAATATTCTTAAGTATATACTGTATATAAAGCTATTACTTTAAGAGAGGAAATATATCTTTAGTAGTATACTTTAAACTAGTATTAAAATTAGTAATAATAACACTTAAGTTAGATATAAAGTTCTTAAAGAGAAACTTATATAGTTATAAAAGTACTTATTAGAAAAATTTAGTAGTTTTAGTAAAAAAAGGTAAAAGTAAGCATTAGATATAGTATTAATAGTAGAGAGACTAATAACTTAGAAAAAGGGTATTAAGAAGTAGTTAACTTACTTTATACTTCTATTAGTAAAAAATTAAAATAATAATAAATAGAAGGGGTAGTAGAGGTATATATTACTTACCTTATATATATTATCTATTATTAATAGTTTTAAGTTTCTCTTTAGTATATCTAAGTATAGCTAATATATCTAAAAAAAAATTATTAATCTCATTATTAATACTATATTATACTATATAATAAGGTATATTAACCCTCTTAGTAAGTTTATTAAGAAAGAGCTAAATTAATAATAATAAGCTATACTTTTCTTATTAGAAGTAGTATTACTAGTTATATATATCTTATAAGTTAACTTTATAGCTTTCTTGTTTAAGAAGATTTATAATATTATATAATATTAAGGTATTTACTATAAAGAGCTTTTTAATATAATTAAATAAGCTTCTTTTAAGGGGGCTATTAGAAGTTTTTATAGCTTACTTAACCTTATTAACGCTAAGTTTTTAGAAGGTTAGGATTATATTAAACTAATATTAAAAAGTAATAAAGTAGTTATAATACTTAAAACTGTTAAGAACCTCTTATACTTAGATCTTTATAGTAGTAATATATTAAATTTTACTTTTAAACTAATAGTTATATTACTTAGTACAACTTTTGTATTTTAATTAAGTTAAAATATATTTACTTTTATAATTATAGATAATATTATATTAGTTACTATTATTAGAAGTCCTCTTTTTATATATAGTAGAGCTTTTAGTATAGAGAGTAATATAAGTGTATAGCTAATACTTTTTAAAAGTAGAGGTTTAGATCTAAGCGTTAGATATCATAATAGTCTTAGAAAATATAAAATATATAAAGGAAGTAGTAATTCAATATACCTAAGAAATAAATAATATAATAGAAGCCTCTAATAAGCTTAATTTCACTTCTAAATAAGGGCGCGCGCGTAAGTAGGGGTCTTTTTAGCTAAGTTAGTAGTATTAATATTAGTAAGTTATATCGTAAGAGGGTAATACTTAAAGGGGTGGATTAATTGTAGCAGTGGTAGCGCAGTAGCTAGATTAGGCTAGCGCGGGCAAAATAACAAAACGACCCCATCAATTTAACAGTAACCATGTACAGAGGCCCAAGCGTCCACTGGTACGGTCGCCGACTTCAAGCCCAGCCGCACCCGCGCCCGCTCGTCCCCCTCAGAGACAGCATTGCGGTCAAAATAATTGGCGATATTCTTGGCGAATGTTGTTTCCGTTTCCGCGGGCATAACAGACCCCGCACGCCCGAGATCCCACTGCTGGTTGGCGTGTCTTCATATGCTATGCATTGCCTGCTGCAACTGCCACAGCCGACGCAGGCGCTGCCATAACCGAGCCGACTAGCTGCGGGAGGGCAGCCGACGTGAGAGTGTCTTGCAGTGCGGTGTGGTTCTCTTGAGGTTCTCGACGCCGCTGATCGGACCCTTGAGTGTACTTGATGTCTTGGGATTTGCGGTGAGTGGGGGCTAGCTCAGGCCCTTGGGAACGGTAAACGGATACGTATCCGTCTCTAGCCAACCGTGGACGGTGAAGCCAGACCTGGCTGGGCCTGGCGGTGACCGCTGACGGTGCAGGTCACGGGAAAGCCTGGATCGGCCCTTGACATTCCCGTTGGAAGTCGGCTCTGACGTTTTGGTGACACAGCCTCTCAGGTGCCGTACCTGCATTCGCCACCTTCAGCCTCAACTGGGTAAAGCCTGGGGAGGAACGGAGATCGTTGCTTCTTGTGTGGCTGAAGCCCGGAAATGGGTGACTCAGGATGCGGCGTTCGTTCATACTCATCTCCTCAGGACCAGATCGGCTTCCGATCCGGGGAGGGTCTGACATCATGGCGGTCATCCGGAGGCAAACGGGGATGATACCTGACCGACATGGAGGATTGGGGCACCTCGGCCCTAATCTTGTCGGCGATCCGCACCGTGCCGGTACCGGGTCCCTTCCCGGGATGGGGCCGTGATGGCCTAGCACAGAGCCGAGGGTGGATCGCTGCCAAGACGCACATTCCTCGGCCACAGTCGGTAGGTAGACAATGCATGATGGTTGTTACGCCGCCGTGGCCGCCTTGATCTCAGGTTTCGAGTGCAGAGCAACGGAATATCGTCGACAGACATGCCAGCTTCCTTATTGGCCATCCGCGGATGGGACTGCTTTTGGGCTGAGGGGTAGAAACATTCCCTGCTCGGGTTGCCAACAGTTGAAATCACCATATCACTTCACTTCATGGCTGGATTGCTTGGATTTTTGATGTATCTGAACGATAGTCTCGATTGAGTGGAAGGAAACCCATGTCAATATCCATCCCTGGCTGGTTTCATCCAGCCTAGTAGTCCTCTCCTCGGCTGATTACTTCCTTCACGTTTGGCCTGAGCAGGATGGTCTGCAAAATGTGTTAGACTGAGCAATGAGCAAGCCGGAAAGAGAATACGTACGTGCTCGAATTGAGCAGTGTAGGAGCCCTTCTTGTCACACAAGGGCGGGTAGGCCTCGACGATGCCGCTGGCCACGAGGTTGTTCAACTACACAAGTCAGCTTGGCCCAATATCGATATCCGGAAGACTTACCCCCAGAAGGTACTTGTCTTGTCCGAGACGATCCAGATAACGCCGGCAGAAGGGCAGGGTGCCAAAGTTCTTGTTAATGACGTTGAGAAGTCTCTTAGCAGAGTCCAGGCGCAGGGCAGCGTGGCCCTCGCCGCGCTTGGCGTAATGAGAGACTTCCATGTCATCTCTGACGTATCCGTTACCGGTACTCCCGAAGGTCTCGACGGCGAAGACATCGCCCTCCTCCATCTTGGTCGTGTCGTTGCTCTTGACGATGGGCACGCTCTTGGTGCCGTGAATGCTCCAACGCTCAATCGTGTGGCCGTTGAGGTTGCGGATGGACTTGACGGGGTACGATACGCCATCAATCTCACACTCGTAGCTCTCCATGACCTCCTGAATGACACCTCCAACATCACCAACGCGCACGTCGATGCCGGCCTCCTTGATACCCGCGTTCGTGGCAGCCTTCACGGCCTCCAGGAGGGGGTCGTACTGTGGCTCGAACGCCATGGTGAAGGCACTGTCGACGATGCGTCCGTTGACGTGCACACCAAAATCGACCTTCATCACGTCGCCCTGCTGCAGAACCACCTTGTTGCCGGCGTTGGGGGTGTAATGCGCAGCGCAGTGGTTCAGACTCAGGCCACAGGGGAAACCCATGCCGCCCTTGATGGCGTCGCCCTCCTCGAGACCCGGGTGGCCCGTCAGCGCGCGCACGCCGTCCTCAATGCCCTCGGCGATCTCGGTCAGCGTCTGGCCGGGCTTGATGTTCTTCTGGGCCCAGTGGCGGACCTGGCGATGGATCTCGGCGGCCTCGCGGTAGTCGGTCAAGAAGTCGTTGTTGAGGTTGTCGAGGTGGCGCTTCTCCTCGTTCGTCGTGCGGTAGAGGTTCTCGTCGCGGTACTCCTCCTCCTCGCCCTTCGGGTAGTTCTTTTGCGGGAACAGCGAGGACATAAGCACGCGGGGCGGGTCGGACTGGGCGGTCGGGTTCTTCTTCTTCTTCTTGGGCTTTCTCTTCTTCTTCTTCTTCGCGGCCGCTCCGGCGGCGGGCACCGCTACCTCGTCACCCTCCTCATCAGAGTCGTCGCTCTCATGGTCGACCCCGTTTCCCTCGGCGGGGTTTGCTGGCTTGCCGTTCGTCGCGGGCTCTCCCACTAGATGTTGAATCGTTCATTAGCAAACTGACGACCACAAAAAGACGTCGGATTTCCGGCTTCGAGCGTACCGTTCAGCTTCTTCAAAGCTTCGGTGGGAACTTGGGCAGCCATCTTGGCATCACTGGATTTGCGCGTGTGTGATGAAGTTGGTGGTGGGAGCGACAGATTTTTGACCCCACCTAGTAAACGCAAGGGCGGGGTAAGCCCCCGTAAATCGTTAACCGGGGAGTAGCCCCTTATGCAATGTCCAATGACCGTTTCACCTTGCAAAACGCCCTCTGTACCTAATAAAAGAGCGCAGGAGTTGTCGAGACTCGCCTGGGTAGGCTCGCTTGTTTCTGGCCAGCCCACAAAACCGTCGTTGTTTTCTCGTCCGTATGGGTTTGAGAAAAAAATCATCAAAAGCCAAGAAAGCCAAGCCTGCGACCGAGCGGCCCCCTTAAGCGCTTAGCCTGGTCAACTCGAAGACTAACGGCAAGGTTCCAGACAATATTACTCGTGCTGCGACTGGACTGCGGAGTTGCACGCGGCACGAGTTGGTTCAAGTCGGCTAAGTTTGCTTCTCTTACATGTCACAACGTCATTTGATCCCCTATTTTTAGGCTCGACTCGCCTCGTCTTGCCTTGCAAGTGTATCGACCAGGAACATGCAACTTTACGTACTTCACTCCTGCATGGAACCATAATTGTTGTCTCCAATGATTTTCTCTGGATTTTATCTCGTTTCCCGCACATCACGATCTCCACGATCAACAACCCTGCGTGTAAGAGCGAGCGACGAATGGTAGACTCTAGATACGGCCCCCATGAGACGACAATTTCAAACATGACAACCTGTCAAAAAAGGCCTCATACGTCGTATTGTTTCTGATGATCCTGCGAATCCCTCCCAGGGGGTTGTGCATGTATGGTGCTTCGGTTTCGGCTTAGTTCTTGATGCATCTGGCACCAGCCTTGCCACAGTCTGAGCCAACTCCGTAATCGCAGCAATTTCCAGATGGCGAACACTCGTAAATATGGTTGTTGACGCGCTTGGCGGTCACGACCCAAGTACCGGTGTTTGCCCAGTAGCAGTTGCCGCAGACAGTGAGCTGCTTACCGCGGCTGTTGCACTTGCATCCGTTATACTTGCAAGCCTTCTTCTCAAGAGAGATGCCCTCTCTCTTCTCCACCGCGGCTTCGAGGGTGTCCACATCGTCGGACCGTTCCGCGAGAGCGACAGGCCCTTCAGACTGAGCTACGCCAGCCTGGACGGTCATGGCGAGGAAGAGGGCGGTCAGGGGGGCGGAGAAGTGCATGTTGGTTGGTGTGAGCTTCGGCTAATTGAAGTCAGTGGGAAACTGAGGGGTTGCAGACTTTGATGACTAACTTGAACTTTGAAGATACGGAATCGTGTCCTGTTGAAGGCTTTCTTGCTTAATGGCTGAGATGATTTTGTTATTTGCTTCGAGGTATTGGTGGCCTTTTATGCCGTTTCTGGCAGATATCACGGCTCAGCAGAATAGTCTACCCATGACCACTAGTCTGTGAAATTCGGAGGAAAGGATTCCTCCGTCTGACGGTATTGATGAGATTCAACCTAAGCAGCCGTGTGGTTGATCTATCATAGATAAGACACTTGAAGTCCACGGGCCACGATTGGCTGTAGCATGTCGATATAAATGTTGTGCTACTGGTTTAGTTACTGCTGATTGGATGGTATTTCATGCCGCTACAAACCTTACGACGGTCTTGTCGTTTTGTTTTACGTACAAATGTCTTTGAACGCCCCTCGCATTGGTCGTGTCGTTACCTATTACAATTCGGATATTTTGACCCTGAAGCACACAAGCGAGTAGATGTATGCTTTACGAGAGTCGAGGCCAGTCTTGGCTAAATACTCATTGGCCCATTCCTGCCTCAAGTCTTATGTGCCAGCCCAATCAGTTGATGATCACCGCAGCCCATTGACGCGATCATCATATCAGTTCTTGCCCATTATGCGTCTGGACTCAAGCCCTAGGTTTCCAGGGATAGTAATATAGTCTCGTGATGTTGAGAAGTATAAGCATCAAGCTTAGTCCTATCTCAAAACAGAACCCGAACTAACAAAGCTTGAAACAAGGGACGGGTCGTTTGCGGGGAAAGGCAGATGGTTATGCAGCTAGTCTTTCAGCTCTGGCGCCGATCTCGGAAATCAGCCCACGATAGATGTGCTCATCGTTAGACTTAGGTCAAATGATTTTTCCAGGCTTATTAGCCCTGTAGCTTTACGTTGAGGCTTTCTGCAACCTGGGGCGCACTGCAGAGAGGGGTTGGTGAGACCTCAGATGAAAACGGCTAGAGGCCGTTGGCAACGGGCCGTCTCAGACCCTTACTTTGGCACCTGCTAGACCAGCTAGTGGCACAAAAGCAGCGGAGGAAATACCAAAGTTCATCCGTCTTACTTTTGTTCAACGTCATGTTGCACAACATGCAGCACGGCAACTCAAGCATCGTGATCTTTGCAACGAACAGTCGGTCGTCAGAAGATTGATTTGACGAGCCACGCTTTCGGTACTCTCAAGTGGTGAGTACAAACTAAGCGTTGACTAAAGAAAGCTTTCGCTGCTTAGTAGAAAAAATGGGTGATTCATCGAGTTATGGCTGCAAATCCTAGAAGATTAGTGGCCATATCTTGCAATAGATAAGTCAACGTACCCACTTCCGAAACACCCCCCCATGCGAAACACCAAAAAATAATGCCATCGCAACAACACCACCAATTTCAATTAACTATCAACGAGGTAAAGTGGCAACCACTATGCAGCTTTCGGCCTCACTAGGGTAATCAGAGGCACTGGATTCATCTGTGTTAATTTCCACCTCGCCAGCCTCAATCTGGGCT